TAAAAAATATATAAATTTTATGTATTAATTAAATTTCACATATGAATATAGGTTTTTGCCAATTTCGACATTTTTGACAGTGAGGTTTTTGACGTGACGGTTTAAACCATGGTTTAAACTGTCAAAAACTGTCACATGTCAAAAACCTGCCAACCCTGATTAGTTGCCATGTTCTTTTTATTTTAGAAGTATTATAATAAATCAGTTTAACTTGTCTGACTAAATTTCATTATTTTTATGCCACAATATCAGATATAATGCAAACATTTTTTTTTAAAAATTTGTTACACAATCTTGCTGTCAAAATTTTAAAAAGCTGGAAGCATAGGAAAAAAGCAGAAGCTTATAGTGACTCGGAAGAAAGAACAACATTTGGTGCAGCAAAATAAATATAAAATCTTGTATTTCTAACAGCTACAGAAAATACAGATACAATACATGCTTTAAATGTTTTATAACAAAAATTAAATAAAATTTAAAGCTTAACTATAAATGTTGGATAAATATATTTTGACTTCTTAATTAAGATTAACTTTAAGGAATTCAGATAAATTGTAATTTTTTGTGCCATAAATCTTTTGTACTAAATACAATATTAATCTTAAACCTGGCCTTAGTGACAGGAATTATTATTTATTTATTTATTCATTTATTTTTTGTTTTACTTCTTATTAAAGATGGGTCATACTATATGCACAAAAGTATAAATTCCGTTCATTGCTTAAAAAAAGAAATTAGATTGAAATACTTACTTGGTCATCAAAATCATTATCTTGCAAAGCATTGCCTTTCATCATGGGAGCAAGGCCATTTGGGGGTTCATCATCATTTTCTCTATCATCATCATCTAAATATAAATAACAAAACATTTTAAAATGACAATTAAAGGAAATCATACTATATTGAATCTTTAGGATCATACTGGAAAAAAAAAATTCCAAATTAACTTGGTGTGAAATATTGATAATATCTGAAGATAAAAAATGAAACACTTTGACAGCCTTTAAAATTAAGACATCTTCTTTAATGAGTTGATCACAGAAAACTATGTCCTTGTGCGTTATCAAGAAATTAGAATTTTTATTACAATTATACAAATTATAATTGTAAAGAAATAAAACATTTATAAAAGCATGCATTTTTAACTGAACAGTTTAAAAGAACTAGGATTAAAAATGTTACATTTAAAACGCATCACACAAAATACAGTCCTTCAAATTCATATAAAAGTGAAATTTTTTAACACTATTATCACAATAAAACCGTTTTAAATTATATAAAAACTTTATTTTTGATCAGCAAAAACTAATTTTTTAAAGCAGGGGTAGTTGTGAGCCCAAGTCAAAATTCCGGAAAATTTAGTTTAAAAAATTAAAAAAAAAAAAAAAAAGACAGCTTAAATTGAAAAATTAGAAAAAAAATTAGACAAGGTTTTTTTTCCCTTTTTCTCAATATTTCTTAGGATACTTAAAATATATTTAAAATTTTACACATACCTATGATGACCTGGAGAAGTAATTAAAATTTACAAATGTGACTTTCTTTCTTGAGTTAATGATTATAACAACTGTTTACTGATAAAAAAATGAATATTAATCATGAATATAAGCTCATAAAGTATCTCTCTGACTCTCCCTTACAAACAAATAAAATAAACTGTGTTTTTAAGTTCCACCTTTGAAAATTTGATTTCCGGAAACTTCTGTGATCAATGATTTTTTTAAAACATCTGGACCTTCGATCTCTGGAAACTTCCAGATCACTGTTACCGAATACTCCGGAATTTTTCCAGAGCACAAACAGCCCTGTTAAAGTAAACTAATTAGATTTGAAATTACATACATTTCTTATATAGTATTCAATATATACCAGCATATCTGGCGTTTAATTTCGGGAGGGGTGGGGTAAGAATTTAGATTCTAACAATACAAATATAAACTACATTAAAGATCTAATTTTTATTTCTAAGACAAAAATATTATAATGACAAATTTAAAATCAGCAAATAAAGCAAATGAAGTTACCTTCTTCATAGTTTTTATCTTCCATTACACGATGTGCATCAGCCCCTCTGTGCATAAATGGTCTTCCATTCTTGAGGTCTTGAATTTTGTTATCAATAGCTCCAATATGATTAGGTGGTAGTCCTAATACATTTTGATCGATTGCATTATTGATAACATTGCCAGGAGATTTGTTCATCATATCATTCATTTGTGCCGCAATATCATTGTTTTCAATTGGAGGATTAGGCAACACATCTTTTGGTTGATCATTCTGTCTTCTAAAATCTGGAAGCTCAACTTGTTGCCTTAGTTCAGGAGGATTATTATACTGCAAAATAAAAACAATTATTTATCTTTTCTGAATAAAATTATACTTATTCATGAACACTATTCTTCCATAAGTTTAAATTATTTTCAGTTTATAAGAGAATGATTTCAACACAAGCACTGCTGCCCCTCGACCTTGACTGTCTCAACCACACACCCTTTCCGGTGTGTCTAATTAATTAAAATAACATACAAAGGAAATGGCACTTTTAACAAGCAATATGCTGCTCTAATATATTTTGTACAAAATATGCAAAAAATGAGAAGTATAGATTGGTTTTATTTGGGTAAAAAAATTTCACAACACTTATTAATTTTTTTAATGAAGTCTTCATAATGCATACATATAAAGCATATCGTAATAACGTTAGCATAAATTTAGAATACCGCAAAATGTAGAGACGTTTTCTTCATGCAAAAGGTCAGCATCCAGTGGATATTCATAATGAAATTCTCTCTATCTACAAAACATTATGAATCAACAAAATGTAACGAAATGGTGTCATGCTTCCTCTGAAAGTAGGACTTATCTTCACGACGAAATCAAACAGATAATGTGATCAATGATGCCCTGTTTTTAAAGATCAGAGGTAGCAATTTGAGCAAATAGACATCTCACATTAAAAGCTTTGCATAAAACCATAGCAGAAGTGTCTATGACAACTCTTTATAAAGCTGTGACTGTTACGGTAGGGAACTGAATATTACGTGGTCAATAGGTTTTTAAAAATGTTAACGGAAAAACAAGAGAAAAGGATGTGTCACGCATTTGACTTCCATGCACGTTGAGAAGAAGCAGGTGATGAGTTTCTAAAATCACATTCAAACTGGAACTGAGACATGTGTTTATCTCCCCACACCAGAATCTAACCAACAATCAATGCACTGGCACCATACAAATTCTACAAGAAATAAGAAATACAAAATTTCAATTTCAGAAAAATAAAAATCATGGCCTGTGTTTTCTGGTAACGCATTTTTTTGGTTGCCTCATGCCTCCTAGCACAAAAATTAATGCAGATCCATATTGCAAGAATTTGAGACATCTGGCGTCTTATTGACAAGCAGAGTTTGCTTGTTGCATGACAATACTCATCCTGCCACCATGCTTCAAACTAAAACACTAATAAAAACTTTTAAAAGTAAAATTTTAGATCAGCCACAGCTTGAACCTTTTACCCAGTGACTTTCACTTATTCTTAACTGAAAAAAAAATCTTACACAGCAAAACTTTCATGACAATGATGAAATATAAACTGAAGTTGAAATGTAGTTCCAATAACAAGCTGTAAAGTTCCATGACTGTGAAATACAAAAGCTAGAACCCAGACCTAACAACTGCCATTAAAATGACGAAAAGAAAAATAAGGCATGTACCAGTAATTAATTTGTTATATATATTAAAACAATTAAATTTTTTTTTCAAGTGAGTAAGCGGCAGTGTAGCTTTACTTTTTGAAAACACGATATATTTACCACAAAATGCAACTAAACAAGTACCATTGTTTATTTTTTTAATATATTTTCTGCGAAATTACATCTCAATTAAAATGAAAGAAAACAAAAAACATAATATTGCATTGCTTTAAAAACAATTTCCACAAAAATAGTTTTTTTAAAAAAAAAGGTCTATACTTTGTAATATCAAATTCCAACTTATTATATCAGTAGGAGCAAATAGTTTTTTCATTCCATTACCTTTTCGGTTTAGATAAATAAAATAAATCTATATAAAAACAGAAATTTTACAGATTCATGCTTTAATATTTGTTATACTACTTTTCAATTAAACTAAATATAAAATTAATTTAAGATTTGCTATAAATTATAGTTATCTTAAAATAAAATTAAGTTATTGTAAAAATTTTACAAAATGAAAAAAAGAAATTGTTAAGAATTTTGAAGGAATATTTCCACCTAAGCAAGCAGAAAAAGAATGAAATGTTAAATAAATATATGAATAAAAAAATCACCTGCAGTCCATCATCACCTCTTTCTCCTGCATGATCATCTTTTTCATCAGCACGGTCAAATTGAATAGGTGGTAATGCTTGAGGTTCATTATAGAGTCCATTCTGAGGTATGTTATTTAAATTGTGCACATCTTTAGGACTATTTGTCACTTTTTGATTAAGTAAATCAAGTTTTGGGACACCCTTATCAATGTTGTTGTCAATCAAATTATCATCTACCAATTTCTTAGTCTTTTCATCATCTGTGATTTCAAGAGCAGCATCTATATCTTTGTCCTCTTTGTTGAAGTCTTCAGGTTTCAAATCTAAAGGTTTTGGTAGTACTCCATCACCTAAATTGTTTACTGGCATCACATGTGGTTTTTGAACAGTTTTGCCTTTAACTGGAGTGGTCGCAACTGTTTTATTTTCAGGTTTTTGATCGTTTTCCTTAAAATAAACAGAAAGGAACTAATTAAACAAAGAAATGCAAAGTTAGATGCACTTACAGAAAAATGTTATTTTTGATGGAATAGTTTTTTAACATTTTCTTTCTTACTTTCTTTTTTTTTACTTCTTTTTTTATTTTGTAGCTATTACTCTGAATAGCAATTACAAAATGTATTGAATAAAGAGTAAGTGCAGCTGACAAAACATTCCTAACAAATTTACATTCTAAAGTGCTATCTGTAGACTACCATGGAAACATCCTGGAAAAACTACATATATACTAGAAGGATCCGCCCCCTGCTCGCTGTAATTACATTTTTGTCCGCTTCACAAACAAAATTAAAATAGTTTTCCTGTAGGTGATTAATTGGAAATTTTCCTGCACCAAAATGTGATAGGATAGTAAAATGTCAGATGTGCTTATTATCAGCCTTTATGGAAACAATATTATAAAATAACATAAAGTGAGGAAGCAATATTATTTAACACATTAATATAGGGCATTAGTTGGAGATTAATCGCTGTATCTGAAGCACGTGTGACAGAGCCAGGCTCAAGCCATTGTTGATCTTATATGATGACCACTCCCTATATGTATTCTGTATAAAAAAACTTAAAATATGGCAAACAAATTAAAACATGTAATATTAATGAATTGATGCTGAGTAATATTTCAAAAGCAAATAATATTGCAAGTGATTGTCCAATTAACTTCAATACTGTCAACTGACAAAATATTTTAGTTTCAATCAGACAAAAAGCAAATTATAAAATGAAAACATATGAAACAGAAATTTGACAAATTAAATTAAGCATATTTAAATACTTTTTCATACTGAATACTAATAAAAAAAGTCATAAGGTCAAACTAATATAAGATGAAATAATTATGTAATCAATGATCAATAAACATTTTTGTTAGAATAATAAAAAAATAAAGTGAAGACAACAAAATTAAAAATTATTTACTCTGCTCTCTGAGTACTAGTCATTTTTGCTAATTGATTTCAAGGAACTAGATGTCTCTGTCACTGTGAAATGTTTTGAAGATAATATGATGTGCAATCAAAGCGAAACATCCCAGAAAACTGTGAATCAGAGGATTCTGCTTCATAACAATGCAAGTCTCCATATAGAAAATATCCTAATGCAAAAAATGCACATTCTGAAGTGGGAATCACTTGAGCACCTGCCTTACAGTTTTGATTGTTTTTTTTTCTCTTAGAAAGTGCTTTAATGGGCAACAGTTCTTACTAAACAAAGAAATACAGCAAGTAGTTTTTTAATTTCTTTAAGAAGCAGAAAAATGAGTTTAGCCAAATGGGTATATTCTGTTTTATAAACATTGTTCAACAGCCGACCCAATTATTTTAACCAAAGTATACATCCAAGTTATTCAGTAATAATCTGAAGAAGAGTAAAGAAGACATTTACCAATTCATAAAAACAAAGTAGCCACCACAATATTATTTGCCACCAATTGAATTTCTGGAAAATTAACTGGACAAGGAAGTCCATAATGATTTAAGAAACACAGAAGACCTACAGAAAATTGTTTAAATGTGTTGTAGTCACAAACATTTCATATTTTTTTATTTTATATCCGTTGATGAACTGTTAACCCAATTTTCGGTTTACGACTACAAATGTTCAACTCCATTGCTTTGTAGTACTGAACCCAATCCAGAAGATAAGGGAACTCCTGATTCATGTATTGGGTGAAATTTGCCTTTGTGGAGGACTTTTTTGAGGAAACTAACTCGCATTTGGGTAACATGGAGAGGAAAGTCACAACAAAACCTTACACAGTTAGCTGGGCAGCAAGGGAACTCTAACCAATGAACCGTTTACCACTGAGGATATTTTACGTGTGCACTGTGGTCGGTGCAGAATTCATATTGACCAACCATTGCTGGGATTCGAACCAGATTCACCTCGTTGGAACGTGAATGCTCTATCCCCTTAGACACCACAGCTTCAAATGGGTATATTTATGAGGTGAAATAGTCGAATGATTGTCTAGATATTCAATGCTTGAACGACTAACACACCAATTCTGCAGTGTACAATTCCCAAAAAGAAGCTTTTCGATCTTTCTGTACATACAAACTGATTTTCATTAGTGTGAGCTACAAACCATATAAAGAACTTAATATTACTAAATGTGAAAAAATAGGAGCACTTAAAACAGTGCATAAAAATTTGGTGTTTACGTTGTCATAAACTGTTTGTTATTAGTGTTTTGATTGCAAATCATTAGGCATATTATGACTTTTTTCTATAGTGTTTTCTTAGCTTGTCAAAAATCAAATTAGCTTGTCAAAAATCAACAATAGATCTATATGACATACCATCAAAACAAACAACAAGAACTGAACTTATGAATAATAGCCTTTTAACATGGCAGCAAAGATGGGGTAGTGATGATACAAAAGGCCGACACACTTACCAATTTATCCCAAAAGTCAGCCATCAAAAAATCTACTCCAACTTCTATATCAATCAATTTCTAACTAACCATGGAGCCCAAGGTAGTTATTAGTCAAAATTGTTCGGGAAAGACCTGAACTGCAAAGTTTGTAAAACTTATGAAGATATCTAACACATACTTACTCTCTGTCCTGTTCATGATGATTTAAGAATTAAATTTTTCCCGAGAAACATCAACTTTGATACCATTAAAAGAAACTGAAACCAAAGGAAACTAAACAAAGGAATTGAAGAGATTTTTAAAAGACTTTTTGAAAACAGAATGGAGGATCTGGCCTAAACCGATCCTTCAACAGTATTCCCTGGATGCCCTGAAATGGGGGAGGGACAGGGTAAAGCCGAGCTATAGTGATTTCTGACCCGCTACAAAAAACTTCAGCACAATAAATTATGCCTGACGTGAAAATATGAAGTAAAAGGAATGAGAAAACAACAAAACAAAAAGAGGAATGGAAATCTTATGAATAACATATTTATCTGAAAAATGTTAAACTCCAGAGCAAATATTAATTTTACCACAAGAGCAGGAACATAAACAAATTTAAAAATAATAAAAATTAATTCTTAACTTGGTACTACATGAAATTTTAATATATTTAACTAAGATATTGATTACTTATACAAATTTATTTCTATTAAGAAATGGGGAAAAAATTAAAAATACTTAGGAATTTAACTTACAGCCACTTGATTTTTTGGAGAAGTAATTTGAGGCTTAGGTGATGTTGCACCAACTGCGTTCTCAATTTTGGCTGCAGTTTCAGTTATTTTCTTTTCTGGAGGAGTAATTTTCTCATTCAATTTCAGGTTTACAGTATTAAGATTATGTCTTGCCAACTGTTCCTGGCATGTATTAAATTCAGTCTTGGCTTGTTGAAGTTGAAGGTGACACAGGTTTATTTCACTCTGCCAACAGAAAATATTTAGATTGCAAGAAAGATAATATGATTGTGATATCCAAATCAATAAGCAACACATAATGCACACAATCATAAAACATGCAACTTAATTATGCTTAAGAAAAATCAATAATTACTAAATAGTACAATTGTAATTGAGTAGAAGAATTAGTAAGAACTAAAATTTAAATAACACAATGCCTAATAGGCATAGAAAAATTTAGATTAAAATCTTTTCTTAAACAACACTTTCAAAAACCAGCAATATTTTAAAGCAAACCTCTTATTTGTTTAAGATAAGCAATAGCAATTAACATTTTATACCCCTCATTTAAATGAATATTGATTTTGAAACTAAATGTCATATTAAATAAAATGTTAGAAACCATGCTTTGCAAAATACAAAAAATTTTACAATTCAAAGAACTCCTCAAAATTACAGCAAGAGTAAAAAAATCACAATTAAAAATTATTGGCTATGACATTAAAGGGGAAAAAAAGAAAAATTATTTATTTAATTCAATAGTACCATAAATAAATTGGGCTATCACTACATCAAAAAATTAGGACTGCTAAAGGGTTGAGAAAAGCAAAAATCAGAAACTGCTTCTGAATATGACAGGCACATTAATTATATCCTACATTAAGAGAAGAAATAATGTAATCTTAAACATAGTATAGGAAAGAAAACCAAGTAAAAGTAAAAAATTTGAAAAAGTCATAGTTAGAGGGTGTAGAATTTTCAAAACATGCCATTTGTAAGAAGGCTAAAATATGCATTATCACAAATGCCTAAGCTAAGATTGAAAAAAGATTGATACCTAATATAAAATGGTATGGAAAATCAGCACTCTATTGTATATTCCATGCAAAAAAATTAATTTCAAGTAAAAACCAAAATTGACATTAAATCAAGTAAAAAGGGAAATTTTGTTGATTTATTTTAGAAAAAAATTGACTATCGAGCAGGAAAATTTTTTTTTTCATTAATATTAAATTAAATATTCTAGCCAAAAATAATACTCAACCTGAAAACAAATAGTAAAATTAATTTTATAGTATTAAAAAAATATTCAAAAAGTGTTACTCTGAATATTCCTGTCTCCAAATATAATGAGCAAAATGAAAACGATGAAGTAATCAAAATGATAAACATTACATTAAAAATAGGTATAATTTAACTTGCATGAAAATTTAGTTTTCACATGAAATTTCTTCGTCAAAATTAAAAAAAAAAAAAAAAACATGTTAGTGGAAGAAATTGAAAAAAAAAATCAAAGTCATATAAAACTTTTAAAAATTGCTGAAAATATTTTATAAATCCAACACTACTAACTTCATGCTGTTCAATTTTCCACACATATGCATTGTTAGATACCTCTAATTTGTCTTTTTCTGATAAAAGCTCACTAATGTGATCTGCAAAATGAAAACATTTTTAGTTAGTTTAAAAAAGAAATTTGTTTGATAAAAAGGAATCTAAAATTCTTAAATAATTGTTAATCACTTTGTAGTTTTTCTATTTCTGCATCTTTTTGAGTTTGAACAGTTTTTAACTGCTGCTTCAGGGCATTTTCAGCCTGCAACTTTTCATCTTCTAATTCAGCATAACTAGTTTTTAATTGAGATATTTGGTTTTCAAGCTTTTGTTTTTCATCCTACAAATAATAATACAAACTTCAATCAATACTTATTATAATCATTGTTTTAATTCAATAATAAATATTATAGTTAAGTTAACACAATTAAAAATATTTCAAAGACAACTATTTCAATATATAACTAAGAATGGTTGTAATTTGAGAAATAAAATCAGCGTTTTCCAGCCTACAGTTCAATTTCATCAAAAGCAAGCTTCACACAAGCACAAGAACAAGGGGACATGTCATTAAAGTAGCATTTAAGCTATCTGCAACCACCTGTTTATCTTGCTTATATATTTCCATGCTCAAAACATGATTATATAACTATAAATAATGTAATATCAATGGAGAATGTAATTTAAAAAATTTAGTTTATTTATAATACTTAGCTATAAAATAAATATAATTTTTCCTAAAATATGAAATAAAATTGCAAGAAGACAAAAATAAAAATAGAACTTATTAATCAATGAAATAAAAGAACAGCTTTTCAAAAACGAATTCATCCTAAAAAATAATAAGTCCAAAAAAAAAACAACTTAATTTTGAAAAAAATATATTTAATTCATTGCCACGTTTTTAATAAAAGAGAAAAAAACTAAAAAACTAAAAAAAAAAAACTATAAAAATGCAATATGCTAAGATTTTCTATTTAAAAAAAATTAATAAGAAATATATATTACGATGCTACAACTACAAAATTAGTAAAAATTATTAAAAACAAAACCTTATTTTAATGATAAATACCAAACCAACACAAAAAGAAACTAGCAAATATATAAGTTAATTGATGTTATTTATTTAATCGAAGTTAAGTCAAATTATAATAAACTAAATAAAACCAAATTATATGAAACTAAAGGTTCATTAAAATCATCAAATTAACTAATATAAAACAAAATTAATGATTAAAAAACACAATATATTTTATACATAGTTATAAAGAAAATGATAAAATATAAGGAAAACTTATCTATTAAAATAAAAACAAAATTTAAAAATTACTGAATGGAAAAAATAAATAAAAGCGATAACATAAATATTAAAACCTTGGACAAGGCAGGATATAATGACATCAATTGAATAAAAACAAAGTCTTTAGCTTAAAACTCATGAATACAAACAACTAATTTATTGCATATGAAATTTATTTTGGATAGAAAAAAAAAAAGAAAAACTCAAAAAGGTAGTACAATCAGAAATGAAGAAAGCTGCAATCTGCTTCATAAAGTAAATGTCTTCTTTTACTAATAAGTAATTGTATGTATAAGCATTAACTATATTTTGCTTTTATTTATAAATGCTGACGATTTCTAATGAAAGCGAACATGATTCCACATCAGACGAAATCTGCAAAAGATACAGCATCTCTGAGGAATCAGAATTCATTCAATTAAAAAAATTTGTTCCTTTAATAGATGCCAAATAAATAAACATAACAGACATTAAAAAAAGTTATATTCCTAACAATTAATTCAAGATCCGAAATTATAAAACAATAATTTGTCATAATAAATCAAGAATAAAGAAAATTGAGAAACAAAAGTGGATTAAAAAAGCAAACAAACAAACATATCAATACTCTTAAAGCAGAAGTTACAAGTTCCAAACTCGGATATCCAATTGACAACACTCCAGCCAGAAACACTTAAGAATAACAGAATATTTAGGATACACCTAATAACGGTCTGTCCAGAAAAAAGAATTATAATTTTATTCCTAATTCTCTATTGCACAATTTTAATCTGGAAATTAAAAAGAGTAAATGAAAATGAATTGGTCATGTTCTACCTAAACCTGAAAAATTTAAAGAAAAACAAGCTTTTTATTGAACCTCAAACCTTGAACCTTTTGATAGAACTTGGCAATAGAAAAAGAGGAAGACTTAAAAATACTTGGGGTAAGATGATTGTAAACAAATTGATAACAATAGGATAGACATGTACATGAACCTATGTTTTAATTCTTAGTAAAGATGAATACATATGTATTGAGCAAATTACAGTTGGAAACAGAAGAAAGAAATCCTGCAATTTGATAGGGTGTCAATTTTCCAAGCAATTCTCCGTTTTTAGTTAAAATTATATTTTCCTTGGTTTTTTTTCCATTTCTCAATTTTCCAGACAATTTCCGGTTTTCCCAGAGCCTATGAACCCTGTTAAAAGCTAGTTTGTAACATTACCCCACTGGTTGTTTTCTTAAAATAAAATAACACTAAAATTCAATTTATCTACAGATAATGTAATGAATTAATAATGAAGTGTAGGTAAAGTAAGAGCAAACAGATATTTAATTAATTTAGGAATATACACTCGATAAAACACTCTCAGGTGAAAGGAAAATGTATGACAGTAAGCCAGAGTTAAGTTAGCTCAAAATTTCTCCAATTATTCTTTAACTACACTAAACAAGCAAAACACTCACTTCCTTTAAAAATAAGGGGAAGTTAAGCAATAAATAATAAAACATTTATCATTAAAATTATAATAAAAAGTATTAAAAAACAAAGAATTAAAATAAAGAATAGAAAAAGCTACCTTTTCTACCTTTATTTGATATTGCAGCTTAGATGCTTCATTTTCTTGAACTGTAACAAAACATAAAAATCTTATTTACATAAAAAACATGAAAATTACATACAAAAGTAAAAAATAACTTTTATTATAAATAGATTTTGAATTGCAAAATTTCAGTACATTTTACTATAAATGTACATTGTTAAAATAATAATAAAAATATGAGATTTAAAAATTTTAATAAAGCATTTAAACCCTAGTCTTATTTTGAATGGAACATTTTGAATTTACATTAAATACATTTTAGGCATCAATTTCAAAAAAAAAAAAAAAAAAANAAAAAAAAAAAAAAAAAAAAAAAAAAAAAAAAAAAAAAAAAAACTTTATCCTTATTTTAAGAAAAGAAATAAAAGCATAATAAATTAAAGTAAGTAACCTATTTGGACTGCATTTAAAATAAATTAAAACAATTACAAGTTTAACTAAAAAATAAATTAGTAAAAGTACTAAGAGTACCTAGCAAGAAGTACTAATTTTATACTTCAGTGCAATTAAAAAAATAACGTAAGTGCTTCAAGTTCAATTTCAAGAAAAATAGTCTGAGAAAGAATTATTTATTTCCTTTACCTTGCTAACACTATCAATGCTAAAAAAAATTTCAGATAACTGTAAAGTTTTTTTTCTTTTTTTTTACAATTTGAATTTTATTAAACATATATATAAAAAAGTTTTATTGNTTATTAGTGTATTTCTCATATATAAAACTCAACTTTTATTGCTTACATTGATTTTCCTATTGCACAGCAGTACAGTTAACCATAGAAGACAACACAAGCCTTACCTATCAGAAATAATTAAATTGAAAATTGTTGCTATTTTAGAAGTTGTAGTAAACTATACCAAGCATTAAAAAAAGTTTACAAATTAATATTATTTAATTATTAATTATTATTATTAAGGGTAATTATTTCAATTAATTAATTAAAGGCACATAAATCATACAAAACCGAAACAGTTAAATTCTTAAGAAAGTTAACAGTTTTTAAAAAATTTAAAAACGTAATAATGCAACCAGTTTTTTTTTTTTTTAAATGAAATTTCTGAATTACACAAAATAGTTTATTCAACATACCATCTTTAGTATGCTTATGATCTGACTTCTCTTGATGCAAAGACTTTTCTAACCTGTTTTTATGTTCATAAACAACTATAAGAAATTAAAAAATGGTTAAAATCAGAATAAAAAAATTTATCAAATGAGTCAATACAATAAAAAATTCAATCCAATTTAGGTAAAAAACAGTTCCTTTTCTTCTTTGTAAACAATAAACATTGAGCAAAATTAAACGCTTAACAAATTTAAACAAGTTAATCAGTAAACAAAGCATTACACAATTTTTTTATGAGACAATGCTACTACCTTAATGCCCAATTGAATAATAATTGTGTATTCAAAGTTAATAAAACTGTTTAGTAACTAAAAAAAAATGATCCTCTCTGAAAACTTATCATTCTATGTCAAAAAGTCAAAACATGTGCAAAAGTTTGGCATGCAAAGCAAAATATTGTGGTGTGTAATCAGGATCACAGGGTAAGAGAGTCAGAAATTTTTGTCTAATAGGCAAACACGACGACATACTTCAAAAATGTCAACTGGAATAAACCCTGAATAACAGAGATAAATATTAATGAAAATTTTTAAAAGATTTTTTTTGTTTAAAAGATTTTTAAAAGATATTTTTTTTTAAAGATTTCAAAATTTTGACTGTTACCACGGACTATGAAAATTATAACAATTGGCAGTAATACAAAATTCAAATTGTAAACAATTTACTGATGAGATTTAAAGTATGACTAAATTGGCATGTTTGGAAGCGAAAACAGTTTACAAATGATGTGAAAGTGGATAATCTTGATGTAAGCATCTAACATTAACGGTGTCAATAAAGTAGAGTCTTGATAATTCGAGGCAGACGGGACAGAGCCTACATCGAACTTTCAAAAACTTAAAATTTAATAAATATTTAAATGAATGAAATATTTAATTGAATAAAGAAATATTTAATTGAAAAATATATTATATTTAAAGAAAATTTACTTACATCATTGATCAGAGTACATTTACAACATTAAACGAAGTTACAATATTTATTATATTACTGTATCAGTATCAGATTAATTGTGCTTTAAAATAATTGTCTAATGTTTTTTGTTTAAACACACTATTCATATGTTTCATTGTTTAACTCAAAATATCGTTTTTCAACATTCAAGTTTTCCCACATTCAGTCATAGTAATCATTGCAAAGTCAATCTTAGTAATCGTTCCACGTGTTGTGTGGGAGCAAGGCTGACTATTTTTCACTAGCTCAGATTTATGGGAAACTCGAATCAACTGTATTTAACTAAACCCTTTAGAGTATATATCAAAATTCATCTTGGGATCAACTTAAAATGAGGGGTTCCTTCACAAAATATTTTATATTATTAAACATCAAATTGAGTGAGATAATACACCACTGTCGTTACAGTGTATAAAAAATAGTTTAAATTTAAAAGTAATAAAGATAAATAAAATTTTTCATAGATCATTATTTGACTTTAAATTTTTTATTAAAGGAACAATTTCCACTTACCTTGCAATTGGGCAGACAAAGAGTCCCGCTGCTGTTGACATTTCTCATTAACACCTTCCAATTCCTTTAAACTGGTATGCGTATTACTCAACAAAAATACTATAAAGCATAGCACACAAAGAACTGCTACATAGACAAACAATTTTCCTCTTGAATTTCTCATTATCACAATAAATACAGGATCTAATAAAAAATATATAAATAACCCAGTAAGATAATAAACAAATTAAATAATAAACAAAATAACAAGGTTAGAAGAAAAAAATTCTTTTTTTTAAAAAGACTATATTTTCTATTTTGGTTAAACCTGTTTTTTTTTTTGGTTTATTTAAAACAAAAAAATAGATAGCATGTTCAGTACTAAATTAAAATTAACTTAACCATTAAAAAGTTTTCCACAGGGATATTTTTTAACTATTGGTTAATATTTTGATAAAGAACACCAAAAAAATTCACTTTCCTTCATAAATATGTTAATAAGATAAAAAAAAGTATAATAATAAAAGATTTTGGAATATGCATATTTATTGCTTAACAACTCCACTTAACAAGCAAATAAACATTTAATATCTAAACATTTCTCTAGTAGTGATTATATGTAAAAGTTAGTTTAGCTTCTTAATTTTTAATATACATAAAAAGGTTGTAATTCAACATTATTTACATAAATGTCATTATTTAGCAACATACACTTTGTAGCATATCATATATTGCTTTGTAGCTATATATGGCTTTGTAATATCAAATTAATTGTTCTAAAATAAACATTTCATATTTTTTTTATTTATTGAATTAATACTAATTTTGATTTAAATGAGTGTGAGATATTGAAATCAAAGTACTTTTTCATTAAAAAATAATTATAACTCATAGACTGATGAAAAGAAATGAAAAGAGACAAATGGAGTGTATAAATCTGAACACACAAAGGTCTACTTTAGTGCTAATGGTTTGGAAAATAAAGAATAAATTACTTTTTTGTTATTTTCTTTAACAAGATGAAACTTAAAATTTAACAATTCTCTTATTGACGGCATTAAATAAATAAGAAAAACATATTTTAAAATAATTTAACATTTTTCTTTAACAGATTTTTTTTTAAAATAAAATACGAAAAATTTCATTTGAAAATTATGATAATGAGCAGAATTTACTGCATATGTACAATACAAATTTATTTACTCTAGTGACAGAAAATAATTCAAAAATTAACTTGTAAACAAAAAATTTAGAAAAGCTCCTTATACTCATAGTTTAAATCAGCTAACCCTAAAAATTAATAACAACACAGAATAACACAATTAATAATAACACAGAATAGTGCAATAAAGACATCGAAGGATAACTTTATAAATTATTATAACTAAAAACTATATATTTAATAAAGCTTAAAAATTTATTAGTGTATTTCTCTATAAATAGGTTAAAATGATGTGCACGAAGGATATTTTGGTTTTTTCTAAAGAAAAATGATTAAGTTATTTGTTCATACATAGTTTGAAGATGTCTTTATTATATTATCTCGTAAGTTTCAAGTAATATTAAAAATAGATATTTTTATTAATTTTTAAACCTATGAAATCTCAGTTTGTCACTCTTGACTCTTACCAACTGTTAATATAAGAAACATATTTTTCCTTAAAATATCTGCACTTTTCTTGCTCAAGCTTTATCTTTTAAAATTAACACCCGTAGAGTTGTTACTTATTAAGGGCTTTTCAGAGACCAAAAAAGTTTGAAACTCATTATTCATTCCTTCACTCATAATGATTCATATTGATGGTAGTATTATTTGGGTAGAAATAGTGCAGACGTTCTAAGAAGATGTTCTAATAAAACTGTAAAACAAACAGCAAACTAGATAAATGTTTAGATGTCATTCTCCTTTCCCTCATTAAAATTTATGAAGTTCATTTATTTTCTAAAACTGTATTGATATGTGTTTCATTATATATTATTTTAAATTTACTTGTGGGAGTCAACTCCAAGAGCAAATAATGCTAATTTTCCTTCACTTAACATTCCCTCACTTCAAGAGAATGCACTTTTGTTTCATTTTGTTTGTGATTTAATTTTTATTAAAGGATAGTTTAAGAATATATATTATTTTAAATTTATTTATGGATATAAACTTCAAAAGAAAATAATGCTTATTTTCTCCTTCCCTCATTACCCCCATTCTCGCCCTATGAGAAAATTACACTTTTGTGAGGGATAGATTCTGATGTTAACAGATTCTTTACTTAAAAAAGATATTTTCATGCATGCCAAACCCTATTATTTAAAAGGCAGCACATTCATCATAAAATTGCAGAAGAAATTACTTAAAAGGGCGGAGATTTTATGTACTTTTTAGCTTGTTCAAATATTCAGCAGTACATTTTATTGGAATATAGTGTTTGTTCTTCAAGTGAAATGTAGCGTTTTAATGCACCAATTCAAACAAACTATATCTATCAAATATATTTTTTTGTATTATAAAATGCTTCCTATATTTTGCATCAATTAAAGACCTACAACATCAATCAGGCTTGAGCACAATGAAAATTTAAGATATCAAGGTCTCCTCTTTAAAAGTAAAGAAAAAAAACATTTTTTTTCGAAGGAGGTCGACCTCCTTCGTTCCCACAGCTTATATTGCATAGGGAACCATAGAGGGAATAGGGGAAGTGGGCGGGAACATCTTAGATGTCCTATTAATCCTAGTTTTCATTTTTTCTCATGATGTGTGGGAGAGGAGGTTGTGTTGATATACTCCCTCTATATTGTTTACAGTTTGGACTTTGTCTCTCATCTGTGTGGGAGAGGAGGTTGTATTGATATACTCCCTTTTCTTTGTTTATAGTTTGGACTTAGTCTTTTTCTCTCATCTGATATGATATGATGATTTTCTTTTTTTTTTCTTTCTTTTTTATTTTATATCATATATATGAATATATCATATATTATTTATTGATTTTTATTATTATTTATATTTTTATTGATTTATTATATTCTTATTTCTTTATAGATATGGAGTCTGAATAATGACACATTTTTTATAGCGTTATAATATCAGTTTTATTTATATATTTTATAATGATATATACAATGATTTGTGTGATACAATTATTGGATCTCTATGCATTCCATTTAATCTAGGCTGTCATCCAGGATCTCGTCAGTTGAGAGTGTCTGTTCATCATCTGATTCTATTATCTGCAATTTTTTTCTCTTCACCGTTCTGATTCTGTCAGAATAATCGCTTGTGTTTTCAGAATGTTCATCTTCATCTAGCACTTCTTCTCTCGAGATATCTATTTCTTTGTCATCTTCTGAGAAGTCTGAGACCGCTTGAGCAGGGATCGTTGATAATCTCGTCGTTGTTGCCTTGTTTATTTGTTTTATTGGTTCTGTCATTGTGCTTTTTTCTGACTTTGGTGTCTCATGTGTCTGGGATTCTTTGTTTTGTGTTCTTTCAAGTGATGTCTCCGGCATTGAGAAGAGTTCCATTTCATCTTGTTGAAGGTGTTTCTGTCCTAGAACTGTTAGCCATTGTGGATTCAAATCTTTTGAATACTTCTCCAGCAGTGGACATGCTTTCAAATTGTCATAGAAAGCTAGGAGTCTGGCCTTTATGGGTTCTTTCGCTTGTGGGCAAAGATTCCATACATGGGTGTTAGAAGTGATGATGACTGGAGTGGGCCTCAGATATTCGTCTCCGCACATTTTTTTGTGAACAAACGTGCCAGTCCCTTCTAGAACAACTTTCAGCTTTTCAATTACGGCCATATCGAAGTATGGTTCGTTAATTATTATGAGTCTTTTATTTATGCAGTCCTGCCACATGAATGTGTATGCCGATGTTCCTTGTGTTATTTCTCCGTGAAAGAAGGCGGCTTTGGCCAAAGATCGTGCTATGTATGTCTTTCCTGAGTTAGGTTCTCCGCAGAGATAAAGAGTGTTCTTTTTTTTCCTGCCCTATCCATAACTTTGATTGTGTTTAAAACAAAATCTCGTGTATCGATGCCTTGGAAATCGCACCATTCTTCTATAATGGATGCGCTCTCCATTGGACAAAGGCATTCGTTGTTTGGATTTTTGTATTCTTGCGAGAGTTGGAGTATCGGTTTATCTAGACAGGACTGCATAGCGAGTTGAAGGGCCTTTTTGAAATTTATCGTAAAATTTCGTTTGCAAAAGATGTTATAAAACTCTTTTTTATGATGAAAATAGTTAATTATTTCGGATTCTGATTGCGCCTGTGTTTCTAGAATCATTTGTATGATTGTGCTGATATCCTCGCATGCGGCATTTCTGTTATCTTCACGGTCTTTTCTTTTCATGGATACATGTTTAATTAAGTCATTGCTGACTTCACTAAGGAGAAAATCTAATTGTGAGTTTTCAGCAGTATGATTAAAAACTATTTGTCTGGGTGGAATTTTCATATATGCGAGGAAGTTAACTGGAGCTATGCATTTTTCAGATTTAAAAAATGAACATAATTTTTTTATTTTTTCGAAAACACGGTCGTTATCGAATCTTTGATTTGCGTTTAGTTCAATGAGGCCATGATAGTGCAATTTTTTATATTCACACGTATCGTCGGGCACGTGTTCGGATAGAATAACTGATCTTTTCTTAAAGAGTGCTTTTAATAATGGACAATCATCTAATCTTATTGCATTTAAGATGCCGAAAACCATTATGCGATAATTGAAAGTCCATTCGGCCGTTGATTTACCTGAGGAAGTTCTTGGTTGAGGCATGTTTCAATAGAGAGAAACTGGCAGTTTGTTTCAGTATCAGAGCAGGCTGTGATAGCAGTGGCTTGAGATCCTCTCAGTGTGTGATGTTTTCTGTCTGAACGCACTGCCTTTTTATAATCCCTTTCAAGGTTGTTTTCATCTTTAGACACGTCTCTCTCTTCTTCTTCTGTTTGAACAGCTGTTTATGTTGAACGCACTATGTGATCCGTTGGATGTATTTATAACTTTATTGATTTTGTCTGACATTGTTGAAGGTCTGTATCAATAATTGATTTAATTAGAATTTGTAATTAATTTTGTAATTAATTAAAATTGTCTCATTAATTAAATAAATTGATTTTTTTTATAAATAAGAATATTAAGCTAGTGATGCGTCCCTCCCTCCTATCCTGCATGTCACTGGTGCAGGGGAGGAGGGAGTATAGTGTAACTAGCTCTAATATCTATGATGTCATAGGTGACGTCATTCTAATATATAGCTAGTGATGCGTCCCTCCCTCCTGCACCACAGGGAAGAGTTAGTTATCTCGGCTCTCCTCCTTCCCTTGAGGAAAGGAGGAGAGATGAGGTGACTCCTTCCCTTGAGGGGAAGGAGGGAGTGATGATATAGAAGAAGAATATATAATATAGGTGATATGGACTATTCCCTTATTCCTTCCTATCTTCCTTACTGCTCACTATAGATCCCGCCTCTTCTCCATACACGGGTCGACCCTGTGTCTATCCCTATGTCTGAGTATATCAACACAACCTCCTCTCCCACACATCATGAGAAAAAATGAAAACTAGGATTAATAGGACATCGAAGATGTTCCCGCCCACTTCCCCTATTCCCTCTATGGTATCCCTATTCTTCTTAATGAAAGATAAGGAAAAAATTTTCTTCTCTGAAACCTGACACACACAAAAAAGAAGAAGAAAAAGATTCCTTAAACAGGGGTCTGTCTAGGTTTTTCTAAGAGGTACCTATTTTGTGAAAATTTGGACATAATTTGTGAAAATTAAAATTCATAATAAAAAATCAACACAAAAATATGGTAAGAATATGGATTTATTGTTTCTTACGGAATACAAAAATTAAATTTTAAGAAAAAGTATTTTGTGAAAGTACCTTTTTTTCTAAAGTTGAATTTGTGAAAGTACCACAAAACGGTAGTAAATGTGGCCTGGATAGACCCCTGTCAATTTGACCTGCTAATTCTCTTTGCATCCTAAATTGAGCCTTTTTTTACCACAGCAGTATATATTTTTTTTTATAATTTTTTTAATATTATCTAAAAAAAATTTTTTTTCTACTTTTATAAAAATAATACTTTAACAAAATAAACATTCCTACTATACAGCGTTCGTGACTTTTTTTTATTTAAATCGGATTTTTTTGATTTAAATCAGATTTTTTTGATTTTTATTCAAACGCATTGTAAGAACTTTAATTTATGATTAAAAATACTTAATAAATGTTTAATCAAAATTAAATTAATATTAAAACAATATTTTAGAAGCTCTAACTTACTAATATAATTTTTCATTATTATACATAGCTTTGAATGCATAGCAACCATTTTGAAACAAATGCATAATTGAAATTTGAAGACTAGATGAAATAGAGAATTTAATGAAGGTTTTTCTATCTAGGTTTTTCTGAGAGGTATTTATTTTGTAAAAATTTAGACATAATTTGTGAAAATTAAAAATACTATTAAAAAATCAGCACAAAAATATGGATTTATTCGTTTCTTGCGAAACACAAAAAATAAAATTTTTAAAAAAAAGTATTTTGTGAAACTATCATTTTTCCTAAAGTTGAATTTGTTAAGGTAAGCAGTAGCAAATTTGGCTTGGACAGACTCTTTAACTATTAAATTAAAGTTTCAATTAGCAAACCATAATTTTAATTTAAAATTGTGTTTTATTTCTCTTGATTTTTAATATGACAAAATAAATGTAACAGATTGTGTTTATAAATGTAGTCATTCATCAAAAAATAAATAAATATATAATCTATATATTTTTATATTAAAATATTCATATTTAATTCTATATCAAAATAGATCAGCTAAAAAATTTCTTTAAAAAATCTATGCACTGATCTGAATTTTTTTTCACAAAATTTCGTTATAGAAAATCTGATAATGTCAAAGATACTGTAAACATATAATGAGAAAAAAAAATACCAGTTACCAGTTAATAACTCTACTGCTTCAAATAGACTTTGAAAGGGAAGAATGACACTATATCAGGAAAAAATATCTGAATTCATTAGCCTTTTTTTTTCTTCTATTTTTGGCATATTAGGGTAATTTCTTTTTAACATAACCTCAAGATTTAGAAATATACATTTTCCACCAATAAAAAATGATGTAGATTTTAATTCCATGCTGTTTCAATCAAAAGGTAGAATTTTACTTTCTACAGCTATGCAAGTCTATATTAAGAGAGCATTAAATGTGTACTTTAATCTGTACTTTCAATCTCAAGAGTCAAAAGATTTTTAAAAATGTAATTTCAAATGTGTTGGAATTTAACACACACCAAGAAAGAAAGTAATTTGGTTAACTAAAATTAATTATCACAGCAATTTATTTAAAATATATTCTAAAATTAAGAAAAGAAAATAATAAAAGTATCAATAATTTAAAACACTAATTTTTAACTTTTAAAATCAATATATATATTTAAAAAAATCAGTTGATTCAAATCAATGATTTTTTTAAAAAAATTATTTGATTTAAATCATGACTTAAATCAAGTTGATTTAAATCAACGAACCCTGCTACTATATGAATTGATATTTACAAATCGGCATTGAAATTCATAAATTTTAAGCAAAGGGAAGAAAAATTTTATTTTCTAGACTGTTTACACACCAAAAATTACAAAAAAATTCTTTCAGTTTAATTTTCTATGTACTACTAAAAAATAACATAGAATACATCAATTGAATTTGGGGGGGAAAAATCATACACTACATCTTATTTCCTACCGAACTGCCCTATTTCTTTCTTGATTTCTTATCATTAGAAAATCTAAATTCTTATCACACTAATCAATCTCACCTCTTTTGTTTTTGCAAGAACAAAAAAAAATTACCAAAATAACAAGGGCACCAAATTGTAAATTTTCATCAGAGGCTCTATTGTTGTGTGGTAGACCAATCTATATTGAGAACTAGGAAAAACTGTACTGAATACCCTAACCTTAAAATAATCTTTTTTTACTTAGAAGACTTTACTTTTAATCTTTTTTTACTAAGACAACTGCCGATTTTGAGAAATGATTTTATTAAGTGTTGAAAATTTTTATATTAGAATAACTACAAAAAACCGACTATACATTAAGCTAATGTTTAATATCGATAAACTGAAGGTCATTAAACATTGCATAAGTTCATTCAGATAAATTAGGACTTACTATTCGATGAAGAAAATGACTGTAGCTCTCCCATAAGAGAATTCTTCTTAAACTTAGTGTTTCAAAAACAGATTTATGACAGACATTTTTACACCTAAAATAGCAAAAATAATAACATATATCAATAATACCAGTTTGAGAAAACAGTAAAAACAAAAGGGTAAAAATAATGAGTTAAAAATCATAAAGATTTACACATTTATAATATAACATAATGCATAATTCAGTTTAGAATCAAAATATGAAGTTATAAACAAAAGTTCAATAAAAAAGTATATGCCATAAATATATCAGCGATTAAATTATTAAAGAGATTTAGAATAAAGTACGTAATTTCAAAAATTCGAGCCGGTAGTCAAGTACATCTGTCAAATAATAATGGTGAGATAGCTCGAGCGATCATAGGCGAAAAATAAATTAAATAAGAAACAACAAAAATGTTGGTTTACTAACTGGGAATGATTTAATCAATAACAAGACTAAGAAAAAGAGGAATTAAAATACATTTTTATATAAACCACGTAATGTAAACAAAATGTAGCAAGCTGAAAAAATAAACACGGTGGCGAGTTAAACAGTAGAGTTTAGCTGATGCGATCTAAGAAATTTTATTTTGTCGAATAATGCTTCTGTTTCATAATGTATTATTATTTTCGATAACAATATAATTTTTATGATTTTTAGCAAACAGAATGATATCCATTTATGCATTTAATATTAAAATTGCTAAATTTTAATCGATTAGCACTTTTTATCGATTTTTACTTATTCTGGTGGCCAGGGCTTTTTATCGACTCGAATTTTAACACTTTTAAATCTGCTCAAAAAGAGTTTTTTCAGTTTTCATTTTTTTGAATTTTAACATAAATGTCTTTTAAGACTCCAAACAGTTCATTCCGAATTTTAAGAACATGATTTTGAACTAAAACCCCCCCAAAAAATCTCGGAAGTACTGAATCCAATTTTTCTGTGTTTGTATTGTTGTTTTCTTTCGTATTGCAAAACATTTGATTCTGCTGGAGAAATTATTGTCACAATTACTTAAATCGTGAAAGGTTAGTATTTATTGGGTTTTTTGTACCTCTTTATTTCGGCAAAAGTAAATTTGGGTAGGTAAATATTCTCAAACAAGCTTTTTCTCTTAAAGCATGACAACTCTGGATGATAAATTATTGGGTGAGAAAACACACTACTATTGCAGTAGCAGTGAAGATGAAGGTAATGATGATGATTCCGACGATTTATCGCACGCTAAAGAACCACAACCTAAATTCATTCCTTCTCAGAACCTTGACAAATGGGAGGGTTCATCAACAAACACCGGTCCAAAAGGTGTCATTAAAGATTGGCAAAGATATAAACAGTTGGAAACAGAACGCCGAGAAGAACAAGAGCAAGAAAAATTAGCTCTTATGAAAAAAATGTCATTAACTTGCCAATCTGCTAAAGATGAAGAAAATGAAAAACAACAACATGAAGATGTGGATGCTGAACTACGAGAGCTTTTAGATGATAAAATCTTGGAAGAATTCAAACAAATGCACATGTTACAGATGATGGAACAGCACGGTGGGCAGTCAAAGTATGGATCTGTTTTTGAAATCAAAACTGGTGAAGAGTATCTGGATGCTGTTGATCGTGCTGATAAAACTACCACTGTTGTCATCTATATATACAATAACGGTGATAAAAGTTGCAAGCTGATGTATGAATGTTTTCATGAACTTGCTGCTGAATATCCAGAGGTGAAGTTTTGTTGTGTAGAGGTTACTGTAGCAGGACTGAGTAGACATTTTGAGCGTAGAGGTGTGCCTGCAATATTAATTTATAAAAATGGGGGTCTTATGGGTAATTTTATTCGTGTGACAGATGAATTGGGTGATGAATTTGTGACTTCAGATATAGAGAATTACTTGTTGGAGCATGGCATGCTTCCAGATCATAGTTTAATTTTTTCATCATTAAGAAAAGCTCAGAATGCAGAACAATCTGATTCTGAATAATCATTTTATCTTCTTGCACAAGCAGAATAAATGTGCAAATTTAACTCTTAATTCAATTGAGAGTGTTCTGAATTGCTACTGTCTTTATAATGTAAACAAGCATTAATTATACAGTTTAAACTATGAACCAGATTGTTAAAAAGTTTGCACAGACTTTTTGAATCATACAGTTCATAGTTTACATGTTTATCGGATCATAAAATTAGCTTTTTGCTTTAAAATTAGCATGTGGTATATTTTGCAACAAAAAAAATTGCTATTACGCATTAATATTTTAAAAGAAAAATAAAGAATTTAGAAAATTTTAGTTATGTTATGTTTTTCTCTCATTCATTTGTAAAAGTAATTTTTCAATTCAATGATTTCTTTTGGCCGATAACTTCTTAAAGAAATGTTTTGCTTTAATGAAGAAACATTTTTTTTTTTAGTTTCGATACTATTTCAACTAATGGGGATTAGTTTTATCAAAATTAGATTTATTTAGACAAAATTGCAATTCTAAAGAGAAATGACATGATGTGAGAAACAAGCAATTTTCTCGATTTAATTGATGAGAAGCTCACAAATTTGTCAAAATTTCATCCTTTTTAAAATCCAGTATTTTGTATTTCTTTACAACCATATTCATAAGGATTTAAATATGCATAAAACTGTACAAGGTTTACATAATATTTTATGTAATATTTATATTAAGGAGGGGCCAGCATTTTAGCTGTAGAATTTGTAATGCCTTCAAAGTAGCCACATAGCATTAAAAATGGAATTCTTTTTCCTAATTATTTAAATAATCATGCACCTACAATTTAAGTTACTAATGGCTGCAGTGCAAAATCTTTTTTTTTTTTTTTTTGAATAATGTACCAATATTTATTTATATTTGATCAAATTTTATAATAATAATGTATTAAGCTGCATATATTTATACTAAATTTGAGTTTTAAGAATTTTAATCTATTAAAATTTTTAATTATGTGAAGGTATGTGTCTCATAAGCTTTAAGAATCCTTATTAACATTGTTCCTGTTTGATCTAAAAAATTTTACCATTTGTCATGGTGGCTTTTCTGCATTTTTAAAATAATTTTTGGTTAATCAAATTATTTGATTAAATTGTTTGTTTTATTTATCTATTTGTTTTTTAAAGTACAAAAAGTAACTGTATTAGTTTATTTTTTCTTTATTTTTCGAATAAATGTCCCAGAGTTTCAAAAGTTAAAGTCAAAAAAAAATTTCATTTTATAACCGTCATTGAATAGCTGACCCAATATTTTGGGTTTACAACTACTAATGTTCAATTCAGTAGCCTTGTAATTTTGAACCCAATCCAAAAGATAAAACAAGGGAACTCCTGAATCAAGTATTGGAGAAATTTGCCTTTTGTGGCGAACTTTTGATGAAACTAATCAGCATTTGCCTTACATATAGAGGAAAACCTCCCACTGTTAGCCTGACGGTAAGGGCTCTAACCCATGATCCGTTTACCTATTAGGATATTTTCTGTCAGCATTGTGAAGCAGCATGCACAGATTTCGTATCAACCAGCCATTGCCGAGATTCGAACCCGGTTCCCCTCATTCGAAGGCGAACGCTTTGTCCCCTGAGCCATCATGGCTCCAAACTAAGGATTGAACAAAATATATAAAGGTAATTCAAATTTTTATTGAATATAAAATAACTAGCTGCAGGAGAATAAAGCTACCATTTGTTATTAGGCCAAATGTAACTTGTGAAAAAACAATAATAATACTTTTAATTTTTAGATTTTGTTCTTTCATAGTCCTAGATTTGCGTTTAAAGTATTCTTATGTATTCAAGGCAATCATATTCTACGTAGTTCAATTTACGATATCATTTTGGTAATCCAGGCTCAATTTTAAATGATGTTTGTGTTTAATTTTATGAATTATTTTACGGGAAATTTTTTCTCATAACTAATTACAATCCTAACAAATTGTTAACAGATCTCAAACAAATCCTAAAAATTTTATTAGTTTTTAAAAGATGTGAAATATTTGTTGGAAAATGTGTAGATGTAGATTTGTTTGGTGGATTTATTGATTTTTCATTTAAAGTTGAATGTCATCTATAGAAAGGTAACTTTTCTGTGTTTTAAGTAGGTAATATGTACAATAACAAATTTTGAACTGCCAATATGTAAATATTTGTTTAGCTGTTTTTTTTTCTCCTTTATTAAGCAGGGGCGATTGTAATTCGGGTTTTTCGTTACATCCCTCCATGTCTAGATACCAGTAGCAAGGCATGTGATTTTTTCGTAGAATTGTGCGCATCTCAAGGCCATTGTTTTGCGGACTTCCACTAATCAAAACTTATAATACAACCAAATTTTCGCCACAGTTTTAAAGTTAAGAGTAAGAATTAAGTTCTACAATTTTGAAATCTTCGCTGAATCGCGTTAACGAGATGTTTTCAAACACGTAACTCTTCCTCAATTATAATTTTTGATTTTAATGATTGAATTTACACCAGAATCTTCTAATATCGAGATTCATATTCACGAGATTTTAATATCTAACATCGATTTTCGTATTTAACTAATTTAAAAGTTATTCATTGTAAATCGCAGTCATGTGATTTAAAAATCAAACATCGCAATTCATATTCACGCGATTTTAATATCTAACATTGACTTTCCTATTTAACTAATTTAAAAGTTATTCATTGTGAATTGCAGTCATGAGGATTTAAAAATCAAACATTGTGATTCATATTCAAGCAGGTTTAAAATCCGACGTCGCTTTTCCTATTCACTGGATCTAAAAATCATGTGCATCGCGATTCGTATTTACACGATTCAAAACTCCAATAATGCGCTTATTTGTATTTAAGCGTTCTTAAAATCCAATATCATGATTCATGTAAGAACTACATTTTTTCTTAAATTAGATACTATAAAAGTGGGATATTCTTTATTGATAAGTAATTTAATTATAAAATAATTGTATTAACTATGAATAGATGAATTGATATCTTATAGAGTTTTTACACTTAAAATTTTCAGGGTTTTACAGTTTGTGTCACAATTATCCCTGATTAATTTGTCCTCTTGTATAAAAAGACCATAAGAGTGTTGTAATAGGTCAACTTACATCGGTGCCCTTGTATTATATATATTTCAGTAACAGAAGGTTACTATTCCTGAATTAATTTATGTTTACAAAAATGCTACAGTCAAACAAAGATTTTATTTTATACTTCGTAAATAATGTGCAGATAAAAAAAAATTGCATTATAATATTTATGTTAATTAGTCCGCAAATTTACCTCTTTAATTTGCGACTGTTCACTCTCCTGTGATAACATTCATTATGTTTAAAACATAATTTGCGATACAATTATCTTGAACAGAAATGTGTATATAGTTAGAAATTTTCCACCTTTATAATCAGAAAGAATAGTTTGTCTTAGTTATTTTGTAACATTTCTTATTTCTGGTATATTTAGATAAGAGACTTGGAGATTCATTATATTTTAATGATTTATATGACATAAATCTCCTGGCTTTTTCATATGTATTGTCTTGTAACTTTGTTTTAATATTGCTATACTTTCATATTTCTGTTGACATTCTGTGTTATCTTGTGTTGTTAAACAAATTATTTGTGTGCTTTAAAGTGACTCTTAAAAGCTTATATGTTTATCTGTCAATTATCAGTTAGTAGGATGTATTTATTATCATTTATATACTGCTTGAATGTGAGCATTATTAAATAAAAGTCTTTGTAATTCTAGATTTCGTTTTCTTGGTTGTGTGGGTTATAAGCAGGGTTTAGAAACAGTTTAATTTTTGGAAAGAATTTTTAAAAAAATGCTGCCTTTTTTTCGATTTTTATTGACTTATTGACCTTTGCTTAATTTACTCTCTTAAAAAATAATATCTGCAGAAATAAAATATATTATTTGTATAGATAAATATAGGATTTTCTTTAATCAAAATGCTAAACAAACTTACCACGTGTCTCACAATAATAATTACACCATTGTATCTTCGGTATAATTTCTGTTGTATAGAAGTGCCAAACATTACGATTTATCCATAATTATTGCAGTTTTTTAGATCAAGTTTGCATCCTTGTGGTTGGGTAATAAAAATTATGGTTTTTTAGAATTTTTGTTATAATCAGCTTAAAAGAAACTTTTACTTAACTACCAAAAGTTTTACTTAACTACCAATTTTGTTATTTGCAGCTGATCTATAATTTTTTCCCCCTACTTCTTAATCAATTCTAAGAACAATAAAAAAAGGATTTGATAAAAACAGGAAGCAAAGAAATCTTATTGCTCCCCATTCCAGCAAGTTATTTTTAGATTCATCAAGGTTAAGGGTGTCAAAAGTTACTAGCAGATATTTCAAAAGAATAGTGTTATTTTGTTTCTTTATCCAAGTGAGGGTTTTTATGTATAAAGATCTTATGAAGTGACATCTATGTTTCATATGTACTTTTTTTTTTTTCAAGAGTTGTGAAAATCACTACTGAGTGGAGAATTTCTTCAATTTAAAAAATCATTATTAAATTAACTTTATTTTTTTCCCTCAATAACATATAAATTTATATAAAATTACAAATTTTAACTGATAAGCACAAGAAATTGTATGATAGACAGTTATTCAAAGGGGTTTAATTTATTATAAAATAATTGGCTTTTGAAAGGAAAAGTTTTAATACTACTCTGTTTTGCTGCTGGGAGGCAACTTACTCGAAGTTTGTAAAAAGATTGCTGCTCTAAAGATGGTTAAGAATTAAACACCTAAATAGTTTCTTTATGCTATTTTTTTACTGTGAAATTGAATACAGTACACTCTCGATTATCCATGCTCATTCCGGAGTCACACAAAAAATATAAAGAAACATATTAAAGATTAAAAAAGATTTTATTCATGAAGTTATAACACTACCGAATTTTTGGAAGCAATATTCGTTAGTGGATTGAAGTATATCGAATATCAGCAGCATGGTCAAAGGTAAAATTGTCTACTTTATCACGATCTTGGAGAAAGATAATATCGCTTGATGAGCAATCTTCTTCAGATGTTCAAGAAAAATATGATAACAGTATTCTCGAACAAGCAAAAGAAATCTGAGGTTTCGAAATTCTTGACGAAGAAAATTTTGAAGAAATTTCAAAGTGATGCATGTGAGCCTGACTTCCAGTATTTGACAGATGAAGACATCCTTATGTTGTTAAATCAAATAGTGATGATAGTAACTGATGCAGAAGATGTAGTAAATGAGGGAAATACAATTTCTATTTCTGCTGGTCTGTGGAAATTTTACTAGATTATATGGGAGGATTTGATTACGGTGACATTACTGCGGTTCGTAAAACATATGACGAAGACGCATTACACAATTTTTTAAAAGGAAAATTCCTAGTTGGATGTTATACAGCATGCAAATGTCAGTAATTTTTATATTTTTTGTACTGATATTTTTTCTCTAATTAAAAGAGTTTTCGGATTATCCGTGTTTTTCGATTCTCCGTGCTCCCTGTCCCGGTGATTAACCCGGATAATCGGGAGTGCACTGTATTTGAATTTAAAGAAATGAAGTAAATAGAAATTTTAGAACAAATTGTTGGTATCCTTTAAAAAGAAAATGACTTCCTGTAGGGCAACCAAAATAGGGTATCATAGTTAAATTTTGTACTTGCAAAAGCAGGGGTCTGTCCAAAGCAAATTTACTACTGTTAACGATACTTTTACAAATTCAATTTTAAGAAAAACTGTAATTTCACAAATTCAATTTTAGGAAAAACTTGAGGTAGTTTCACAAAATACTTTTAACATATTTTCGAAAAGTATTTAAATATTTTTGAAAATATTTTCTAATTTTACCATATTTTTGTGTTGATTTTTTAATATAATTTTTAAATTTCACAAATTATGTCTAAATTTTCACAAAATAGGTACCTCTCAAAAAAACCTAGACAGACACCTGAAAAGATATGCATTGTAATCTATTTTCTTTAGTCTTAATATTTAATATATTATACCCATATGTATGTTACTGATATAGTATGACCTGTCTTCTTTAAAAATTAATAATTTTACTTTCAAATGTGTAAAGCAGTTTAAATACCCTGGAATTGTTATCAGTAATGCGAATAATATAAAACTTGAAGTTAACAATAGGTTACTTATGGCTAACAAATGTTTTTATGTGTTGGGAAACCAGTTCCAAGTCAGAGTTTATCAATGTTGATACAAAAATTAGCTCGTTCATAACCTTTATTTGACCAACTGTTTTGTATGACAGCAAGTGCTGGCCATAAATAAAACTGAAAAAAAAAAAAAAATAAGTTGCTGATTTTTGTGAGAAAAATACTCCGGAAGATCTTTGGTGCAGTTAAGCAAAATGATGCCTGTAGAATGCAATATAATTATGAAATTTTCAATAAATTTAAAGAACCAGATCTTGTCAAAGGTGCCAGATTCGATGATTAGGACACCTTTTTAGATATAACTGAATAAAATTAGTGACTTTTTCAAAAATAGAAGGTACACGAAAAAGATAAAGCCCTCATACCAGGTGTGTTGAATCTGTTGAGAGAGATCTCGGAATCAACCGATGGTTATCTATTGCTCCAGAAAGAGTCAGGTCGAGGTGGCTTATGGGGACAGGCTTGGCTTGTGACTGCCTGTATCGCTGAAGAAAAAGAAAATGTGACTACAAGGCATTCTGTTGAATACATAACCAATTTATAGAATGTGACCTTTTCAATCATCGAATGTAATATTCAGTATGTCTCATCAGTTCGGAAGCATTGCACATTTTGTTAATGATGCTAAACAATATGAAAAATCACAATAATGCTTCATTGAATGAAATATTATACAGTTTTGGTTCTATAATAATAAACCTTTCTCAGTGTTGAAACACAGAATAAAAAGACCTTTAAAAAACTTTTATTTAAAAAAAAAATGCATTCTGCAGAACCTGAACAATACATTTTGATTTCACTATGTAATAAAGAGCATAAGAACTAGCACAGTATGCAGAGAAGAAAAGAAAAAGAACAATTCTAACATTTTTTTAATCATTTTTCCAAGTAGTATGACTTGAATTTTTAGAGTCGATCCTTAAATACGCTTTAACTTTAAGTTGTTTTTTTTTTTCAACAAATTTACATTCTGAACCCCAAATTATGGGGGTAGTCCTAATCTAAAATATATAGTTCCAATAGTTTTGATAATTGAAAGTTAGGTCTCCATAATAGTAATTTTACTTTTTGCGCATTTCGTCATATCTCTAAAAACTATTGAAGCCTGCCATAAAATTTTTGCACACAATCGTACAACTTTCATTTCATTTATTATATTTTTAACAATACATCAAGACCATCTACAATGAGAACTAAGGGATCTTGTTATCCTTCCTTCATGCAAAGGGAATTCAAGATCTTTCACGTGCGGTGTCATCAAAAGTAATGGTGATTTTAATCATTTCTTTGAAACTTTAAGTCAAGTGACTAATTGTCAATTGAAGCCTTTTCTTTTGGAAACACAAAAATCTCTGACACTAATTTATAAATTAATTTTCTAAGAAATATGGTTAACTTTAGGTGGCTTCTGTGGAACGAATGATTCAATGCAGACATTCTAATGGGCGCTTAAATAATATTGCATGTATGGAAAATCGAACAGGAGAGTTATTATAAAGAAAGGTTTGTTATGGGCGATCGTACTAAAAAGCTCATCCTGTTATCTATATATTTTAAGTAAAGGGCAAATTTGAGATTTTGAGTCCTAATGAAAGTATAATTAATATATAATACAATATATACATATTAAAAGGAAGCTTTTTCATCCCATTGATATGAAGTGGAAATGTGGAGGTCAGCTCAAGTGTTAGCCATTTCATCTGTTATTGTATCAGAACTAAAGTTACTTACAAGGTTAGTAACTTTGAACACAAAAGACAAGGCTAGCAACATAAAAGACAAAATTCTGAAAAACAAAAAATTTGCTTGGCCTTGTTTATATGTCTGGGAGTATTGTTGATTTTAGACACTTGTTGATTTTATAACATTAGGTTTGGCTAAAGAAATATTTATTTCTGCTTAAAGAATTTTGCCTATTTTTTTTCTTAATGCAGGCACTAATGTTCTTAGCCTCAGAAAAATGCAGGAAGTGTTGCTCACTCGATCATTACTGGTAAGCACCTGTGAACCTAAGTCATGGAGAAGAGCAACATTAATCTGCTTCAGATAACCCATTCATAGAGTGGGCCACATTCTCATATCACACAACAGAGGGAAACATCCATGCCTTAAGTGGGGTTTGAACCCAGAGCCAGTTGCTGCGCATTCGCTCAACCACCTGACTGCTGCATAGAAATTTGTCAAATTATTACTATAAAAAAAGTTTTAGGTGCAAGATTTGGCTAAATTGCAACAGTTAATTGCATGAAATATTTTGCTTGAGAAATTAAATATCAAAATCTATTTTTATGTTGAACTTTTATTTTTTTAAACATTTCTGGTGTTATTTTATTGCAGTGTGATCACATTTATTTATAAAAAAAATCTAAATTTGTTTATTGCATTAATATTCTGATAACCTGCTTAAAATATGCACAAAATTCTTATAATAAAATTTTGATAGTGTATTTAGTAGCATGTGAGAAATTAAAAATTTTATGGCAATCTTGCTTTTTGCACTATGCATTTTTTTTAATAATAATTATCAATAGTACAATAAACTAATGACAATGGGAAATACCGAATTGTA